TTTTGTTTCATAATAAATTTTATTTATATAACCCTTTTGCTGATTTTTAAAGTGTTACATAAACAGGACAGGTGAAATATTATCATGTAAAGCAACCATAAACACATGAAAAGACCTAGGTTTACAATTTATGATTAAAACTCTACTATCTACACAATATACATAGACATAAAATGTAAAAACTTAAATATCTTAGAAACAGTAGCTAATCAGTTGTTTTAATTGTCATATTTGAATTCAGCACATCAAAATACATAATAAATAGCACATTTTATCTCTGAAGCAGATGACTTCTCAAAAATTGTAGACCAGTATGACCTTTGACATGTCTGTGATGTTGCATTCCATATGATTTTATGAAAATATGCTAATGAGTGTGAGTATAATGTAACTGAAATATGCTTCATGCAAAAGGTCTCTTGTAAGGTATCATTACAAAGCTTATAATCTACTGAGTGTGTTCATTCTATTTGTATGCATGTATCATTCTTGTATCTGAAACTAGAAATATGAAATATAACTCTGAGGTCCTATTGTAATTATGCAAAGTGTGGGCCATTAATGGTGGTTTGGAATCTTGATGGCTCCCATCAACTAGGACAATTGGTTATAAATGGCTCTATTTACTTGCAAGCCTTCCTGTGAGTCAGGCCAGGAAGAATGAAGGCTTGGGGTCTCCCAGGACATGTGACCATGTCACCTGGTACTGGAATCCATCTTAAACCTGGTGCTTTCCATTTAGAAGGAGGGGTGGGGACCCAGAGAGACAAAAGATTTCGGCCTTGTGCCAAAGCTAAATAAGGGGGTGGAACAGAACAAAAGGGCTGCAGTCATGAGAAATCCCCTAGCTACCACCTGAGCTGGAACAAGGACAGTACCAGGGGAAAGGATTGGGCCCAGACTAGAAAGGAGTCTAGTCTGTGAAAGAAGCTTATTGGAACATCTCTGAGGGTGAGATTTATCTGTATTCAATTTCTTAACGTATTAGGCTTAGACTTGCATGTTTTTGTTTTATTTTGCTTGGTAACTTACTTTGTTCTGTCTGTTATTACTTGGAACCACTTAAATCCTACTTTTTATATTTAATAAAATCACTTTTGCTTGTTAATTAACCCAGAGTAAGTAATTAACACCTGGGAGAGTAAACAGCTGTGCATATCTTTCTATCAGTGTTATAGAGGGCAGATAATTTATGAGTTTAACCTGTATAAGCTTTATACAGAGTAAAACAGATTTATTTGGGGTTTGGATCCCATTGGGAACTGGGTATTTGGGTGCTGGAGACAGGAGCACTTCTTAAGCCATTTTTAGTTAAGTCTGCAGCTCTGGGGGACATGGTTCAGACCTGGGTCTTTGTTTGCAGCAGACTGCCGTGTCTAGCTCAACATGACAGGGTTCTGAAATCCCAAGCTGGCAGGAAAAACGGGCTCCGAGGTAGTTTCAGTACATCAGGTGGCAGTCCCAAAGAGGTCTCTGTGACCGAACCCGTCACAATGTCCTTGTAGAGTATAATTATATTCACCTGCCTTGTTGAGGCTTGATTAATTTTGAGATCCTTGAATCAAACTTGTTATGCAAATACAAAGTGTGTATGAAAAGCTGATACTGTGGACCATTAAATTTGTTAATGGAAAAAAAGCAAATTTGAATGAGTGTGGGCAAAGAAAACATATTTATCGGCATCAGTAATTTTTTGTGAATAGGCTGATGTGAGGATAATTAAGATAACTGAAAAAGTGTGTTTTATTTTTAAATTAGTACTGCCAATTAAAGAATATATCCCTGGGCACACTTGGTTACGAACAAGATGAAGACGATGTGTCAGGCTTACAGATCTGTAAACAACAGTACAAGAAAGACACAATGCTTCCTTCCAATGATACGCTGAACATAGACATTGCCATTGAAACAGGTACAGTACTGCTGTAAATTTAAAAAAAAAAAGTGTTGCCATGGACATTTTATGTATTGTAATGGCAAATCATCAACAGTAAGTTAGTATTTTATTTGTGTGGCAATCCTACTTTAACTTAGGAAAGTTAACCCACTTCTCCCCTATTTTATTCTTTAATATCCACCTAGAAAATACTACTTTACAGCATAAGCATTGTAGGTCATCACAGTAAGACTTTTTCTCTGAAGGTTTTTCAGCTGTTGACCTTCTGTATGAGAGAAGCTGCTGATCAGAGGCCAGATATTGAGCGTTGTTGAATGCTGTCAACCACCATTAACTTCAGTGGGAACATTTAGCACCTTTCAGTATTGGGGCCCTACAGAAGATGCCTGCACCTTCTCATGGCCCCAATAATTTGAGTGGGGCTCCACACTGAGCAGCTTGCAAGATCAGGACCTACATCTGTGTCCACCAGTATCCAGTTACCTTAGTTTTCTCCCTTACTTTATTTGTAAAATAGTCATTTTGAATGAAAATTGTAAAAATCTTTTTTTCCGCCCCATAGACTGTATTCACCTAGAGCCACAGATGCTAGCCACTAAGAGGTCTGGTGATTTGAAGACGATAAATTCATCATTTTTCAACTTTGAATTTTATAGGTAAAGTGAGTTTTGAAAACCCATCCATTCATATGAAAATAGTGGAATCTATTGTATGCAATTCACTGCATTTATTTTTACTCTTCAGGCTTATACAGGTTGAAATCTCCTTTCAACTTAAAGGTATTGATCTACAAACAATTCATGCCAGAGAATTGCCTGACTGCTACGCCTTTCAGAATACTGTAAGTGCATTTCAGATGTATACACATGAAAACAAGTGTTCCAGAGTCCAGGACATTTCTTATTGGTGTCCTGACTGCAAAATGGAAAAAATTCAGTGTGCACTCTCTCCATTGACACCCGTGCAAAATGATGTGATTGCTTTGGTGTCAATGGGACAGACCTCTTATAACAACAAGTAACTATTTATTTTCCTCAAACATGGTTCTCCTCTTCAATTTTTTAAATGTTTTGTTCTTCATGAGAAGTAAAATCATTGATTGCTTTTGCACTTGTATATTGTTTCAGATGTATTTTTCCATGTATATTAATCTATGATGATAGCTTTATTTACAGATTACCTAGATTAAGCAGTACCAGTGGGTATCAATCTAGTCTTTGACTCTGCATTTTTTGACAGTGTTAATTTTGCTAGTTTTGCTTTCATCAAATGATAAATCTTTACACTTGTGTTTGCAGATTACTTTCAACAACAGAGCCCACAGTGGTAAAGTAAAAATTTATTTTGATAGTGATGCTGATATTCAAGAATGCAAAGACTGGCATATATCTGGATCTAGTAAGTATGGTGCATATGTGTTCTGCATGGTGAAAATCTGATGGTTTCCAGTAAATCTATATCATTGTTCCACTTCTGAATATATATGATAACTACAGACAAAAATACAAATGTGAACTGTGGCTATATTCAGAAATAAATGGCTAACATGTCAACATTTTTAGAAACGTTACTGAAATGCGTGGACACTAGGGCAGCATTAACCAGTGGATAATATAAGCTACAGATGGAAATGATGCATAGGAGTAGCCCTTGCAGCACACTGTCTACTGTGTTATCTAATGTCCTTTTTAAATGGTTCAAGCTTGGGGCCTACATCCCTGCCTGTGTATTACTGCCTTTCCATTACTTTTTCTGACTCCGCTAGTGTTCGCACCATGTCCCAATTCACTCTCCTGTTTCTACTTGTGATATTGGTGTTTGCTCTTTATGCCCTCTCCCATGTCAGTAACAAAATGTTAGACCCACTTTTATTTAACATCAGTATAGTGAGAAGTAGTAGCCTAATAACCACAGACCAAATCCTCCCATCTAGCTGAGCTTTAAGTCATTTTTATGGACCCTTTATCCTGAGAGTGATCTGAACAAGTTCACAGCTCTAGGAAGTAGAGCAGCTTGCCTATGACCCCAAGGTGCTGTTCCTGCATATGGTCATCACGGGTGTAGGAACACCGAGGCCACCCCCCTGCACTCCGAGGACATTAGTCTGACAGTGCAGTGAAAATCCTTAAGGGACAGGTTTATGCTATTTTAGAGATGGATTGCTTAATCAGAGTGAGCCCGAGGAACTGTTTCAGAACAGGAGTAAAGAATCATAGGACTGGAAGGGATCTTGAGAGGTCATCTAGTCTAGTCCCCCTGCACTCATGGCAGGACTAAGTATTATCTAGACCATCCCTGACAGGTGTTTGTCTAACCTGCACTTAAAAATCTCCAATGATGGAGATTCTACAACCTCTCTAGGCAATTTATTCCAGTGCTTAATCACTCTGACAGTTAGGAAGGTTTTCCTAATGTACACCTTAAACCAGGGGTCTCAAACTCAAATGACCATGAGGGCCACATGAGGACTAGTGCGTTGGCCCGAGGGCCGCATCACTGACACCCCCCCCTCGCTGCCCCTGGCCCAGCCCCCACTCCACCCCTTCCATGAGGCCTTGCCCCTGCCCCGTCTCTTCTCCACCTCTTCCCCTGAGCACGCGGCTCCCTGCTCCTCCCTCCCGCCCCCCGGAAAGTGCTAAGTGCCACCAACAGTAATGCACCTCACTCAAAGGACAAAACACGCACTTAGTTAGATTTACTTCTGTTAAAGCCCCCCCACTGCACTGGGCTGCACCACCACCACTCCACTCCTGCTCTGCCTCCTCCAGGGGTGGCAGGTTTGTAGAAATTTTGGTGGTGCCCAGAACCTGCCCCCTCCCCCAAACTCCACCCCCACCTGCCTAAGGCTCTGGGAGGGAGTTCGGGTGGGGGAGGGGGTCTGGGGTGCAGGCTCTGGGATGGAGTTTGGGTGCTGGGTGCAGGCTCCGGGCTGGGGCAGGGGGTGGGGGGTGCAGGCTCTGGGATGGAGTTTGGGGATAGGAGGGAGTGCAAGGATGAGGGCTGTGGGGCTGGAGATGAGGGGTTTGGGGCATTGGAGAGGCTCGGGGCATTGGAGAGGCTCAGAACTAGGGCAGAAGGGAAGGGGAAGGGCAGTCTGCCCTGGCCATAGTAGTGGAGGGGGGCACTAGGACCCTGCGGCAGCAGGTGATGCTGGAAGCCGGCAGAGTGGAGTGGAGTCAGCATGAGCTGCAGGCTCCGGGGCAGTGAGGGGGCAGCAAGTGAGCCCAGGGGACACTCGGGGGAGATGCGTGGGGGTGGCAGGCGGGGCCGGGGGAGAGGCCTGGCCCCAAACATTGGGGAGCAGTGAGCAGGGAGCTTAGCTGCCACATAAAATAACTGGGGGAGGGGGGGCACGGAGCTTGGCGGGCCGCAGGGCCGCGTGTTTGAGACCCCTGGCTTAAAACGTCCTTGCTGCAATTTAAGCCCATTGTTTCTTGTCCTGTCGTCAGAGGTTAAGGATAACAATTTTTCTCCCTCCGCCTTGGAACAACCTTTTGCATACTTGAAAACTGTTATCATGTTCCCTCTCAGTCTTCTCTTCTCCAGACTAAACAAATCCATTTTTTTTCATTCTTCCTTCATAGGTCATGTTTTCTAGACCTTTAATAATTTTTGTTGCTCTTCTCTGGACTTTTTCCAATTTGGCCACATCTTTCCTGAAATGTGGTGTCCAGAACTGGACACAGTACTCCAGTGGAGGCCTAATCAGTGTAGAGTAGAGCGGAAGAATTACTTCTTGTGTCTTGCTTACAACTCTCCAGGGCTGCCCAGAGGGGCCGGGGAGCAAGTGGCCCTGGGCTCCCCGGCAGGGGCCCCCACGAGAATATAGTATTCTATAGTATTGCAACTTTTTTTTATGGAAGGGGCCCCCGAAATTGCTTTGCCCCAGGCCCCCTGAATCCTCTGGGCGGCCCTGCAACTATCCTGCTAATACATCCCATACATAATACAGAATTATGTTTGCTTTTTTTTTTTTTTTTTGCAACACTGTTACTGTTGACTCACACTTAGCTTGCAATCCATTATGAACTCAGATCCCGTTTTGCAGTACTCCTTCCTAGGCAGTCATTTGCCACTTCGTATGGGTGCAACTGATAGTTTCTTCCTAAGTGGAGTACTGTGCATTTGTCCTTATTGAATTTCATCCTATTTACTTCAGAACATTTCTCTAGTTTGTCCAAATCATTTTGAACTTTAATCCTATCCTCCAAAGCACTTGCAATCCTTCCCAGCCTGGTATTGTCTGCGAACTTTATAAGTGTACTCTCTATGCCATTGTCTAAATCGTTGATGAAGATACTGAAAAGAACTGGACCCAGAACTGATCCATGCAGGACCCCACTCGATATGCTCTTCTAACTTGATTGTGAACCACTGATAACTACTCTCTGGCAAGATATACCATATCTACCAGTTCCCTCCTATCCACAGGGCTTGTTAGAAAGCTATTAGATTTGTTTGACATGATTTGTTTTTGATAAATCCATGCTGACTGTTACTTATCAGAACTATATTTGGAAATACTGTCTTTATTTGACATTTAAATAAGTATGTGATTCTGTCTTAGTTATTTCTAAGGTCTAGGTCGATGGACTTGGGATCTTGTATAAGATTTTTATTCCATCAGTTATTTTTGTCATTTCACTACTTCAGACGAGTAGTTGAGGCATGTAGGTTAACTGTTATTAATCTACCCTGTTTGTCCTGCTGTGTCCACATGATGCAATAAGCAATTGGCCCTGCTTGCTGATGTAGTGATCTTGAGACACATGCAGACGGATTGCATAAAAGGGGTTATGCCATGGTCTGTTGCTTCTCTGACAATAACAGCCATGTTGGTGACTGCTTACTCATTTTAACCAGCGTGTCATGTCACTGGGTTCAGGAAGTCTTCTACATGGCAATGTACATATTTTTCAAACAGTCAGTAAACATTACTGTGTCTTCAGATCCCAAGATCTTGAGAGTCTGTTTTTGTTCATATTTTTCTGAAGCTCATCAACTTCCTATCTGGAGGGGGGAAAAGAGTTTAGAGGAGGAAGGCACAGATGTTTGCTAATATCTAGTGGATACCGAGACTTGCAACTTGTGTGCTTTTATTATTAATGTCTAAGCAAATCATTGCTGCCTTCTAATGAAGAAACAGATCTGCTTAACTCCCTTCTGTAAAAGTATCAAGATGACATAAATATCCCTTGCTATAACCTACCTAGTGATGGATTTAACAAGACTCTGCCTGCAAGGGAAACACAAATTTTTAAAATAGGTTTTGACCATTCTGTTGCTCTGAATGAGCTTAATACATTAAATTGAAATTCTAGCCTGGTCTTTTAACCAATAATAAATACCCAAACTCAAACACCTATGACACCTTTATTCCTATACTTCAAAATAATTCCTCTTTGACTACTTGAAGCCTGTTACGTCTTTAAAGACTTTATTAGAAGCAGTGAATGTTCCCTGCTTGTTCTTTTGATGAGCCTTACAAATAAAGAATGGCATCCACATTATATTTCTATCATTAAGCTTTTGTCTGATCACTTTAGAAAGTGACAATAGTACTGAAGGTTCCACTTCAGAGCGAGATTCAGTATGACAAATAATATAAACACATTCATTAATGGTGAAGAAACAGGGCCATCACAATTACTATACAGGACCGTGGTATAGTCGATAGAACTTTGTGGGGATCCTGGATAAGGAACAAAGTGTTCTCCTTCTTGCCAAATCTTCGCTATATTTGTATACTGTTATACAGGAACCCAGATAATTTTGTGTGTGTGAGATGAGTTCTTACAATGGTGTCTCAATTGGCCACGTTTTGTACTCTACCTGCATATTAAGTAGTTGATCAAAGAACACTGAGTTAAAATACTCCTGCATTATAAATAACTGACTTGTTTTGCTCTGAACTAATTTTTATTTATTTATTTATTTACAAAAGCTGTTTAAGACCCTGGATCTACCAGAATACATAGATTTTTACAAAATCTATTTTTAATTCTATATATGTGTACAGAAATTGAAAATCCATCCCTCCTTTGCTTACCTGTAAAGAACTAAGTTCAAAGAGCTGCATATCTCCTTGGATAAGATATAATTTGTCGCTTACTTCTAGTGCTGTGCGTGGAATACGGTTTGCTTACCACTAACTGCTACAGCAGCTCTCAGTTGCAACTGGTGAAATGGAGGCTTCTAATTGCAGGTCTTCATTGGTGAAAAGCCTTTTGGTAAACCGTGTCAATGGGCCAAATTCTGCCCTTGCTTATGCAACTTCAATGAAGTCAATAAGATAGCGAGATTTCTCTTGGTCTGTGAGCAGAATTTGGCCTGTACATGAATTATTAATTTCAAATAGTTTAAAAAGAAGAAAAAATTCATTTCACTTTCGGGGCACAGTCCCACAAACCCTCTGCATGTAATACCCCAGTGATTTGAGTTACAGACCTACATGCAGGAGGCTTCTAATGTACTCAATATGTATTGACTGTATTTTATATACCTTATTTCTCTAGTGATATGACAATATACCAAGTGTTATAAAATTTGTCATAATAAATGTGCAGAGAGCTTTTATTATATAGTTAGTTTTCAAATGCTTATGAAAAGAATTCTGTGCCAGAAGGAATACGTAAAGATCGAACTGTTTCCTATTGTACTTTTTTATTAGCAGTTCAGAAGAACAGTCAATATATTCTGGTTTTTGATGGATTTGTCATCGTAAGCTGTTTTGCTTCCCTTATACTCTGCACACGATCCATTATTCTTGCTCTGAAATTGCAAAAAGTAAGTATAACCTTGTCTGCCTTTTCTCTCTGCTTATGTTTCCATTCGCTTTCCATATTTTAGTTCCACTAAGCAGTGCTATGTTTTGGATTATCAAGTATATCTGTTCTAGGAAAATATCTCTCCAAGAGTATATTGCATCTGTATTATATCCAATCTGATATTTCTAAATTCATGGAGATATCTCCTAGAACTGGAAAGGACCTTGAAAGGTCATCAAGTCCAGCCCCCTGCCTTCACTAGCAGGCCTAAGTACTGATTTTGCCCCAGATCCCTAAGTGGCCCCCTCAAGGATTGAACTCACAACCCTGGGTTTAGCAGGCCAATGCTCAAACCACTGAGCTATCCCTCCCCCTCCTTTAGGAAAGAGGCTAAGTTTACTGTATGCTTGTACAGTACACAATGAAGTCTCAGTCCTGATTGGAGTATCTGCATGGTACTGTAATACAAATACGTTCGTTTCAGATCCATAGGTTAAAATTCTGGCCCCACTGAAGTCAATGTAGTTTTGCCATTGACTTCATTTGTGCCGGATTTCACCCCAAATCTTCAAGTCCTTGTTTGTTTGACGTTGGCAAATCATACACCCTCAAAATCCAAATATGACTGACTTTTTTCCCTATAAGGCTAAAAAAGCCAGATATTTAAATGTTCACTGGGTACATTCCTGAGCGCAAAGGGCCTCATGCTTTTTGTGTCATGTTGTTGCCCCACCCTCCCCTGACACACATGTGAGACACTGATATGTTCTGTACGTCAGGGAATCTCTTCCTAAATGTGTACACGGGAGGGGAGAAGAGAGCACAGGATACATGATATCCAGTTATCTTAATCAACATACTGTCTTTGTAACTGTCAAAAAGGTAATGGGACCTAGTTCAGCAAAGGGTTTGTCAGACTTTGAGGGATTGAGAGAGCAGTGCTGACCCATCCGTAGGGGGACAGGAGAGAGTCTGTGGATTGGCATGCAGGATGCAGAAAGTAAAGTTAGTAATAATGCAGTAATGATAGCAGTCACCCTTTACAGAGCTGTATATGAATGTCCCATAATTCTTTTCTGTTGATATTGCTAATACTGCCCATACATTATTTCTACAGTAGTTGCTAGGGCATATTCTTCCAACAGACCCAACTTAAGTACTCTACTTGAGCAGTACTCAAGAACTGCAGCACCTGTATGAGCTTCCTTTTTTCTGGAGAAAAGTAGGTTCTGTAACCAAATCTCTAAATGTTTACTACAGAGATTTGTGAATTTCTTCCTGGAAAAGTACAAACGCCATGTCTGTCATGCTGATCGTCTGGAGTTTATAAATGGATGGTATGTCCTGGTGATTATCAGTGATGTGATGACAATCATTGGATCTATAATGAAAATGGAAATAAAAGCCAAGGTGAGAGTTAACCCATCTTAATATTTTCTTCACTCTATTTAAGCATGCTTTTAATTAGACTAATGCAAGGAAAACCAAAGTTGTGACCAATTAACTCTTTTGCGACAGCGATTTGGTTCGGTCTCGCTTCTTTTGGTAGTATATTCCTCTCCATCTGTACCTGTCTTTTGTTGTCTGTTATCACCGGAATATGAGTTTTCTCTCTGTCAGTGGCACCAACTCAGTTCAGTCAAACTCTGGAGGCTCTTCTGCCCCTTCAGTCTTGGAACTCACGTTTTCCTCTTGAGTACCAAACCGCCTTTTTTATGGCCAAAACAGTGGTGCTCAACAGCCAAAAAGGGAAGGTCCATGAGCAGCATCCTTTGAGTCAAATGCCACTGGCAGGAAGGCACCTACTGTATGTTATGTTTAGGACCCTACGAAATTCACGGTTGATTTTGGTCTTTTTCATGGTCACAGGATTTTAAAAATAGTCAATTTCACAGTGTTAGATGTTTACATCTGAAATTTCACACTGTTGTAACTGTGAGGGTTCCGACCTAAAAGGGAGTCCTGGGGGGTTGTGGGATTGCCACCCGTACTTCTGTGCTTCCTTCAGAGCTGGACTCCTAGCCAACAGGCACAGAGCTTCCTGCAGCTGGAGGAGGTTCCCAGAGGTGGTCTGGCCCCTACAGGGGAAGAGGAAGTCCTGTCCCTCCCCAGCCTGACCAGGGCTAGCAGCTGCAGCCCGGCACACGATAGAAGCCCCCTTCCCTTACAATAGCTAGATTTCACTGGGGAGATCAGATTTCATGGTCTGTGACCCATTTTTCATAGCCGTGAATTTGGTAGGATGCTAGTTATGTTGAGTGGCCATCATAGGCATAACCCTACACACACAAGTGCACAATACTGACACTGAGCACTTCTTTCAATAAGTTTTCTTCTGCAATCCCTATTTCTGTAAAACAGTTTTCAAAATAAAACAAAAACCCATAGTATTTTTCTTACATTATTTACATCCTCAGCGTTAACAGGAAACAAAATACGTCTTTTATAATGAATGCAATTCATAGTCTTCTAAAAGGACATCCCTATATAATTTTAAGGAAAGCGAATTTACAAAACTTATATGTGTATATTGCATCTGTAAAACTACATTTAAAAAATGCAGAAGCTATAATATTTATAAATGGTGTGTGTGTGTATAGCAAGCTATGCTCTATATAATATAAGTACACAAAAAGAATCTGTCATTAAATTATAGAATCATGGACAAACAAAACTTGCCAGATGGCAATGCAGAACACCTCTAAGTGCAAGACGCAGCAACTTAGGCCATGTAATGTTAAGTACCAAACAGGCACAACAGACCTTCCTACCAAAGCTGAAGGAAAGAGCTATATGAATGGAGGAGTGGGGGGAAACAGCAGTCACTTGTGTTCTTTAAAAAGTGCTTAATCCAACCAAGGTGCTATAGTAGCCATAGAATAGAGTCTAGTCAGTAATCTTGCCTTAATTCCACGCGTGTGTATGTGGAATTTGTTCACGTAGATAAGAGAAACACTTTAAAGCTGCAGTTCAGCAGCAGCCTTCAGATAGGGAGGAAGAGAAAGAAATGGAGAGACGTGGCTCTGCTCCAGGAGAGTCCTAAGGTGAGGCTTGGGGGAAACAGGAAGGATAAACATGGGTAGAGGAGATTCTCAAAGGGTGGAGCTGCTTTTTCAGGGAGAGGGATGGTTCAGCATCTCTCATTTGGGGTGAGAGAAGTGTTGCTCTTTGAGCAGAGAGTGGGGCTCCAGTAGTATTCACCCAAAAGATCCCAGGATCTCTTGAGAAGAACTGATCCCAGTCTGCCTCTCCATAAAATTCTTGCTACAGTAGAATCTGGAAGTTCATTCCATTCCATTCCATTCCATCTCATTTATTTGGCTTCTGTTCCTGAAACTGTTGCTGTAAATAGCATATATTTTTTTTTTTTGCAGTCATATCTACAGGTCCAGATCATTGCCTGCATGTGGTAGGCACTGTACATGCACCACGCACATAATAAAAAGGTGGCTCCTGCCCGAGAGGGCTTAGCTAATGAATGCTGCCCGTTATTCTTTCCATTAAAAACTGATGGTAACACACTGCCTAGATTGTGCTCTGAAGAAGAAAATCAAGAAACATTCAACAAACAGGAGTCTCCTCTAAACTATCCCCAAACAGCAGCTTGTGGGAATGGGAACATCTCTGCTGTAATCCACTTTCTTAATGGACTGTCAAATCTACAAGTATAGCAGTGTCTGTCGCCACACCCTGATCAATCTGTCTCGGTTACAATAAATATGGATTTATGTTCCCAGCAGTTTTTTTTCCCCACAGCCCAACCATATTTTGTGACAAAATTTGTGTAATCACATGTACGTGTGTGTGTGTGTGTGTGTGTGTGTGTGTGTGTGTGTGTGTCGGGGCAGTCTGGGAAAATGTGGGCCAATAGATCATGCTTCCCACACTCTAGAATGTCCTACTGCACAGGTAGCTGGGAGGAATAAGCATTGGCCAAATCAATTACACAGGCACAGTAAGGCAAGAATAAGTTTTACAAACTTGCTACCAACATGTGTCAGCCTTGGCCTGAAGAAAGGGCAATGAGCTACTAGCTGTTGTGATTATGAACAGTATTAACCAAGTGTGTGGGCAGAAAGCCTGTGAGAGTTGTCCATGCCAGCAGCTGGTTACAAATTCTGTTTAAGGTTGTAGTATAGACAGGGCCTTAGTCATGAAGTCTCCCTCTTATTAATTGTGAACCAGTGCCTAATTAGTGAATGAAAATTAGTTTGCCATATGATTAAAAATAGGAAACAATGAACTTCCTTGAGAACTTAATTTTGAAACTGTCTATTGTAACCAAAGTGAAATCCACACAGCGCTTGCAGGCTTCATGCAAATTTCTTTATGCCATTGTGCACCTTTGCCCATCTCCACAATACCACTGCCTCTCTGTATAAGGCATCTCTCCTGAGCAACCATATTGGCTTGGTGTTATGTGGCTATGTCCGTTTGGCACTAGAATTCAACTGAAGCCACTGAAATTTTAAAATCTGACCTAAAAAATTTCCATGTGCCATCCTTTACCTGCATAGTCTTAAACTGCAATACCTATCAACAGGTGTTACTTCACTCACCTGCCTTTTTTTTTTTTTTTGCATTCCTCAGAACCTCACAAGTTATGATGTTTGCAGCATCTTACTTGGAACATCGACTTTGTTTGTTTGGGTTGGAGTCATCAGATACTTAGGATATTTCCAGACATACAATGTAAGCCTAGAATCAAATATTCAGTAGTTGAAACTTATTTTAGTTCTGTTGTTTTTATTCTAATTTCTTTAATGTGTATATTGTCCTCTTTCTCCTCCTCTCCCCTGACCCTTTGCAGGTGCTCATTTTAACAATGCAAGCATCATTGCCCAAAGTTCTAAGATTTTGTTGTTGTGCTGGGATGATATATCTTGGCTATACATTCTGTGGCTGGATTGTATTAGGGCCTTATCATGAAAAGGTATGTAAGCTCTTCTAAATGTGCATATATAATCATTCCATACTCAGAGTAAGCACTATCATTTGGGGGAGGATATTCCTGCTTCTTAAGTTTAAAACATAACTCAACCTTCGTTATGAAGCCATAACAACAGCTTTAAGTTTTATATGTTAAACTCTCACTGCCTTTCCAAACACTACACTGAGGATTTTCAGAAATTCCCCCACTGTTGTGCTGGTGTGGCTCCAGCTCTGCTGTCAATGGTGGGCACTCTAACATAGCCTGGGCACTGATACTTTTCACCCCCATGTTGCCTCAGCAGGGTTTTGTATTACTCATAGCTTTCTCCAAACCTTCCCCTCTGGGTGAAACTTGGCACAGTTGATCTTGGTCCAAATATAGGGTGATTTGGAAAGTTTTTAATCAAAATCATTTTGTATTTTTTTCTTTTTCAGTGTAGATGCAAAATATTACATATGCTTTTTTCCTGTATTCCAAACCAAATTTTTGTGCCTGCATAACTCAAAAATGTGGGAAGCTAAAGGCTTTAGCGTGTTTTATAAAGCCCTCTGCAAAGGAAAGAACAACAGTTCAAGTTTAGAGAAGAGACTGCTGTTATGAACATTTAGAATTTGCATATCTACTAATTCTCATTAGTAATAAGATGCATTTATTTATCCTTTGCTCTTAATGCATTTTAATTGATGACCAAATACTTCCTAAAAGCTTCTAGAATTTTCTGCAGAAATCCCATAATACCCTACGCATCCGTCAGATTATACCCTGGGGACCTGTCCCTTTTAGCTGACACGTTGTAAATATCACTTTTACCCGAACTGTCAAGTAGCAAGCATCTAACGATCTGAGTAAGTGAAAGAATAGTCAATGAGATGGTTGACTATTTATGTTGTCAAAACTTGATCTTGTATGATTTTCTTGTCATTAAATGTTATGGCTCAGCTCATTTTGTTTAAGGCTCTAGCAACTTGTCCCAAATCTCACTAGATGGCAGTATTGTACTGCATAGAACAGCCTATTCTAGTCACTTGCTTTACCATGTGTTTTTGTGGCAGCTGACTGGTTGCACACTCAGTCTGCTGTACAGAATTAAAAGGAGGATACTCTCATTCTGTTCTGAATGCTCCAAACTGCAGCCCAAAATTGGAATGACTTGATTCTCATACATACTAACTAACCAAGATGGCCACTGCAAGCTTTGTGCACAAAATCCCGTAATGCTATCTAGTGGTTGTACTAGTTTGATGTCCCACCAACTTGACACTCCCAGAAGCAGCACTCCCTGCTTCTCAGTGAAATTTGCTGTCTCCTGAAATGTAGTGCAAAGGTAGGACATGCAGGCAAGCAACTTCATATGAAGCAGGGAGTAGCAGAAGATTACTACTTATCTGTCCTTCCTTATTTGAAAAATAAAGAAGTAAGAGAAACAGGACAGTCCTCCCACAAGTCATCTTGAATCAACTACCATCTATTACATCAGCTACAGACCTTGCCACTTGGAATTGGGTTGGGAAAAGTACTCTACAGATTCCCTCTTAATTTTTTCATGAAGAGTTTCAGAATCCCTTATATTTCTACCCAGCCTCTCTCAGGCCTCATGTAGTAGAGAATCTCTGCTCATCAGAGAAGAACTGGATTCTGCTCTTTCCATGTGACAACTACAAGGAGTGACAGTGAGCAAGGTGAAGCCTTCCTAGCTGTTTCTTTTGCTAGATGGCTCACTGAGCAGCCCTGCCAGCTCAGAATCAAGAGAGCTGAACTCGGATCTCTAGATGGCACTCGTGGACCACTCCATGTTCTAAAATCACCCTTTCCTAATAGCCCTTAGAGCAAATTTGTCTTACTCCTTCCCCACACGTCATAGAATACATAATCATAGATATGTAGGACTGGAAGAGACCTCAGGAGGTCATCTAGTCTTCCTCTTGCCTCCACTGCGCTGAGGCAGGACCAGATATACTTAGATCATTCCTGGCACATGTTTGTCTAACCTGTTCTTAAAAACCTCCAGGGACCGGGATTCCACAACCTCCCTAGATAACTTGTTAAAGTGATTAACTATCCTTCATAGTTAGAAAGATTTTCCTAATATCCAACCTAAATATCCCCTGCTGCAAACTAACCAGATTATTTCTTGTCTTACCTTCAGTGGACCTGGGGAACAATTGCTCACTTTTTATATATTTTTTATATATTTGAAGACAGTTACATCCCCTTCAGCCTTCTTTTCTCTATACTAAACATGCTCAATTCTTTCAACCATTCCTCATAGGTCATTTAAGTGGGAATTACCCATATTTAGCATTTAATCTTCTCTGAAGACATGTTTGACACGGCATCAGCCAGCTACTCTGAATGCCTGACATAAATGCTATTTACTTTGGGTCTCTGGACTATCCAGCATTCTTTTTGGACCCAGAAAATGTAAAACTGGGGGGAGGTTTTGAGAGTAGGTAGAGTTGGTTAAGGCAAAGTGAAAAGGCTCGCACTGTCCCTTGGTCGTTAGCTATTGCTATGGAGGTCCCTTGGCACCCAACCCACTAAATAAAATCTTTATAATTTGCCATACCTATTTTTCTTGCTGCTATATTGGGATTAAGAAAACCTTTTATCATTCAAACCTAAACTTGGGTTCAAATGTACCTGATAATTTGCAAGATGACCCCCAACTCCTTCACCAAATAATGGAATGAGAAAATATAGCTGGAAGATATTCTTTCAATCTCAGTATTTTTGTTAAAGAGAAGTATGGTCTATAATTTCGGCACAGAAAGGTTAGAGGAACTGTAGTGGCTCCACTTGTGTCCTATTTCCCCCAAGTACAGAAAAAATTAAACAGATCTTTACCAATGTGCTGCTGGAAGGGGATTTTAAAAAATGTTATCGAAAGAGTAATAAGAGACTGGGGGATCAGAAGACCTAGATTCTGTTCCCAGCTCTGTCACTACTCATTGTGTGACCTTGGTCACTTAATCTCTCTATGCCTTAATTTTCTTATCTCTAAATTGGGGATACTTTCCCGCATGCATAATGCAGTTTGAGACCCTCTGATGAAAGCATTAAACATTAGTGGTGGTTGTTTGTTAGATGCTTTAACCCGTTGGCACCTTTCCTACAACTGATGCCAATGCAAAACACTCAGGTACATATGGAAAAGGAATTATCTCTGCCTCCCAAGCCAAATGATCATGCCAGTCTTAAATGTATGAAATACACAAAATAGAGAGATTGTGGTTGTGGGAGGTTTTTGGGGGTTTTTTGGGGGGTAGAGGGGCGCAGGAGAATAGTGGCTGTGTTTAAAAAAAATTGTGGGAAAACTGTTAGTGAAAATGTCTGTCTTTATCTCCTTTAACCTGACTGTATGTGGTGTTCAGGTTCTAATGTCAGTCTCTTTCAATATTGTCTAGTTTGAAGATCTGAACACAGTTGCTGAATGTCTGTTTTCTTTGGTCAATGGTGATGACATGTTTGCAACATTTGCTCAAATCCAGCAGAAGAGCACCTTGGTGTGGCTGTTCAGTCGATTATATCTGTATTCCTTCATTAGTCTATTTATATACATGATCCTCAGCCTTTTTATTGCACTCATTACAGACTCTTATGACACCATAAAGGTAAATCATTTTGTCTTTAGTGGAATTTTTTCTTCTAATCAATTATTTAGCATTCTTTCATGTTAGTTAAACCATAAAGGTGGACAAATGGAAGCTCTCTTGAGATGTTGACTGATTATGATGTATGGTAAAGATATTCAAAGCTTTTAGCTTAAGATCTGGTAAAAAAATAGAAGAGAGAATTTCCCTTAAGTGATCTCCACCCAGGCATTAGTTTGGAAAACTTACTTAAGGTATCACACCTCCCTCCCCCTGACCCCCAATTTCCCCCAATTTATTCTACTGGCTGTATTACATTTGGGTCAGAATAGTGACTTGAGTGGGAAGTGGGGAAATATATTAAGCTTAAAATCATTGAATGCAGTTGGTTACAGCTAGAGAATTCTTTCACGAGTGCAAGAGTGTAATTGCAGTATCAAAAAGTCTTGCTGAGGCCGGGAGAGAGTGATGTTTGAAAGATGTCTGGGGAGAAGGAGGCAAGGGGGTAACCCATTCAGTTAAAATTGCTTAGCAGTACAGATTTGAATACCTCTGCTCCCTGTGCTTCACAGAAATTACTGGCTCAATAATTAGTAGGGTGCGTGGTATGGAAGAGACCCACTGAATCTAGTACTAATGAACTGCTAGCTAGAACCACTCTATCCAGTTCCAGTGAAAAATGGAGTGGAATTAAAAATATCCCCTTCTCTAGATCTCTTCCCTGCATTCTTGCCCCCCATCAGTATTTTCTGTACATTTCTAGTCACTTGTATTTCTACATACTTAAGTCCTGGTGGTTAGGGTGACCAGTGAGAAGGCTACATCCAGTAACTGGCCTTTGGCTGTTGTCTTTTTGTTTTAGTTCTCATGTAAATACATGTGCAGCATAGTGGTAAATTGTTAGTGGCAGTACACCTCTACCCCGATACAACGCTGTCCTCAGGAGCCAAAAAATCGTACTGCGTTATAGGTGAAACCGCGTTATATCGAACTTGCTTTGATCCGCTGGAGCGCGCAGCCCTCCTCCCCCAAAGCGCTGCTTACCGCGTTATATCCGAATTCATGTTATATTGGGTCGTGTTAGATTGGGATAGAGGTGTATGTGGACCACAACTTCCTAGGACTCTGTTTTGCAAGTTTCTCTGTATAGGATTGCAGTAATTTTGTTGATATTCAAAGTGAGATGGGATCGCTTCTGTTTTTTCTCTCTCTCCCCTTGCTTCTAATCCTCTCATGTGGATCCAATGGTTTAAAGGAGAAGCCGCTCCGTATTCAAAGATTCCAAGGCCAGAAGGGACCATTGTGATCATCTAGTCTGACCTCCTGTATAACACAGGCCATATAACTTCCCCAAAATTCCCAGAGAAGAATCGGTTGATTTTCTGTTTTATATAGCACTTCCTCTGAATGAAAAGGTTGACTAAACTTCTAAGTGGCTGCTGTCTATCTCTGCTTCAAAGCTGTTGGTCTTTAGAGCTTGGGGTTTTTAATTTATGGAGAACTCACTTATTTATGGTGAATATGTAGGAGAAAAAAATCAACATAAAAACGGTGAAATAGAACCACGCAGGAATGAACTGGATAGTTATGCAAGTAACATGCGAAAAGGAATAACTGAATAGTGTCTTTTCTTTTTTCAATATGTTTCCTTTAGCTCATTCTTCTGTTCCCACGACCACATTCTCCTAGCCTTGCTTTGTTTGCTGCAGTAGTGACAGTTTGATTCATCTATTATTCTAGATGTTAGAGCTGATAAAAGTGTGGGAGAGCAGTGTAGAATGGAGGCAGGTTTAGAGCAATGACACAAGGAATGATTTCTCATGCACTGTAAATGAGGTGTCCTGTTTTTCAGAAATACCAGCAAAACGGCTTTCCAGTAACAGATCTTCATGAATTCCTTAAAGAATGCAGTAGCACAGACTATAGCAAAGAACCACAGGCTTCCATGCCTTTCATCTGCTGTTGTAGGAGGTCAGTATGGCAGTGCAATTCCGTGAGCTATGTAATTCTCATAAGTACCCATGAGGTTAGCTGTCTGTTGGAAAGTATGGGTTTCACTATGGTAGGCACGCCCAGAAATCTAACTATAGCATGTTCAGACTCTTAAATATATTTATCCCTTTCTGTTGTATTTAGCATTAGAAAATAGCTAATTTGTTAAGGGGAGAGGGCAGGGAAAGATACCTTTTGAGTTTCACTGTAATCATTGTAAAGCCCTCGGGGACCTACAGATGAAAAAAAACTATAGATATATATGAGAGAGAGAGAGCATCATTAATATTTCTAAAGGGGAGAGTTGTGCTGATCAGGTCAGGGAAGCACAGAGCACTGAAAACTGTTAGAGCAAAGCTAGGCTCCAAGACCATCTTGACTTCCAGGTAGGAGATCTGTTGGCAGGTAGCAGTAGAAGGGCACAAGAGAGAACTTGTTCTTTCATTTTAAGTGACCCATCCCTAATCCAAACCTTGAGATTTGTCTGATTAAACCATTCCCAGCAATCTCCCCTCTAGTTTAATGGGAGCATTTCCCTGAGAACCTTGGTCATTTCCACTGAGCTGCCTGGAAGTGCCCATCATTATGAGCAGGGCCTGTATTTGGACCATGTGGATGGGACTGGAAGGCATTTCATCTGGTTCAGACCCCTATAGGGGTTAAGGGACCAGTAGCAGGCTGTGATGTTCTTTCTCCTGGGGGGAAGAAAAGGCATAGGGACCATTCATCCTATAGTACCAAGCTCACTCCCACCTCTTAATCCCTGCTAAAGTGGTAGGTAGATGGCTGTGGATTCTGCCTGCTGGCATTGACAACTGTAGCAAGGCCCTGGTGGCAATGGCATAGAGGTTTATGCACAGCAGAGTTGGAGGCAGATGGAGCCTGAGGGAGTGATGTCATGTGAGGAGTGTAGCAGAACTGGGTGATCAACTGACCCGAACTAGTGTGGCAAATCTTGTGTTCCTAAATGATCTATAACAATGGATCTTACACAGTAAGGTTCTTGTGAACCACAGCTTTCTGCTTTTGATGTGCCCCTGGCTGAGGTTTAAGTGTCTTTTAGCTGAGAAAAACTGCTGGCTTGAGGGGGGGCGAATAAAAGAACATCTAAATCTCCAGATAGCTGCTGTGGATACTTCAAAGGTAGGTGGTACGGTGAACTTAAGTGCAGCTTCAAACCTACTCTCTAAGGCTGCAAGCAGACTTATAGATCCTTTTCTCCTTAACTGACTTCACTGAAAGAAGGAAACAAGTTCAGCTTCCACGGCAGGGGACCTGCAGCTGGCTTGAAACCTGGAACTTCTTTTGGGCTCAGGGATTTGAGTTCTTTGGCTTCCCAGCATTTCCAGTGCATTTGTTTGCTATTGGTTAGCAGAAACTAGTTGGAGCTGGGCATTGAGGCCCTGAAGTAGGAAATTACAAAACACAACAGGGAACGAGGGGGATTATCTCCTGCCCCGGAGGTAGGGAGCAAGGCATGTTGCTGCGTTTACCAGGGTGGGCAGGCTTGCAGTACTGCTGCCCAGTGAAGGGCATATTTTCTTAAACTACATGCCTCCACATGTCTTTAGTTGAGCATGTCAGTCAGGGGAGCCCTAAATGGTATAACAAGTTCTGACTGGTGGATCTGTTGTCTCAGTTGTGCGGCTTAGTCATTTTTAGCTCTTTCTGTCTTCCTGAACATCTGTCTGGCTGATAGATGAAAAAATAAGTTGCTTCGACTTCAGTCTAATCAGAGATTGCTAGTGACCATGGTAAATTACAGGAACCTAATTGATTTCATGATTACTTAGCATATTAGGTTTTCTTGCAAAAGGTCAAGCCATAAAAAACCTGTTTGCTTTTTCTGAGAGCATAATTAAAGGCAAGGGGTATAGGTAGATCCTTCTTAATTATCTAAGAGATATATAGGAAATTCAGCATGGTTAACTTTAAATATACCAAGGATTTTATGTTGCCCTTATTAAGTACAGAATTTAAAAATACCAACTTTTTTTTCTCTCTGACCCCTTTTTACAGACGAGGAAGTGATGACAACTTGATACTTAACTGACAACCAACCTACTGCTGAAAGTCACTGCTCAAGAATGTTCAGAAGGAACAAACTGCTGTGGAAAAACAACCCCCCAAATTTCAAGAAGATCTGTCATTTGGGGCTATTTCCTTGTAAACATTATGACCCTATTTAATTAGGTAGTTTGGGGAGGTGAGCAGGGCAAAAAGCTGCTAATGGCTGGTGTTAGCTGGCTGACCACGTTGGAAGCTCAAAAGCTACCTTTATTTGGACCAGAATTATGAAGAACTGATGACGATTCCCACTCTGTGTTCTACTGTCTTAGTCCTGAACCTGAGAGAGACTGTCTATGGGAGCTCAGCACCTTCTTCAGATCAGGCCCCAAACTAACCATCTGGTTCTTAAATATTTATATTAAGGAACATATTTAAAAAGAATTAAACACACTTGTTTTTAAGTAGAATGTTGAATATTGCAATTATTGGTAAGGAGTGTTTCAGGTCATTCATTTAAAGTGATGTATTGGAAATGGAGATTGTAATTCTTATTTGGCATAAAACATGATTCAGTTGCTTGAAATAAATTTGTGTAATGCAGAGCTGCACAAAAATGCAAAATAATTGATGTCTTCATGTGCGTTAAATTGATTTAAAACTGTTAAGCCATTTATATATCACTAAGCTTATTTACCAGATCTTGTACGAAACGAAAGCAATTTGTAGTTGCCCACTTCCTTTTGTCTTCTGGCGGTGGGCTTACTCCATTATATCAAAAATCTTCAGTGTGTATGATAGGCACATAGTATATTCGTTTGGTCACTTCATCACATTACTTATTGGTAAATCAGTCACATATGGTGTGAATGGAAGCTTTCACCACAAATATCACACAAGAGAGAACTTTTTAATGAAAACCCAGCTAAGTTCTGCCTGGTTTACCCTTCAGGTTTGACATGGTAGTTCCATACTGAATAAATCCTTTTTAAAAGTACATTACTTGGGGCACTGACTTACTGATGTTTCTGTTCCAATCACATGTTGAAAGAAGGAGAATATATAGTGGCAGATTCAAAGACGGTTCATACAGGCCAAGATTTTCAAATGGTTAGTGATTTTGTGTTTATATGAGTGCCCATCCTGAGACACCTTAAAGCAGCCTGATTTTTCCGAGGGGAGGGTTCTCAGCACTTTCTGCAAATCAGGTTTCTTAAGGTGTTTCAAGTTTGGTACCCAAAAATTGAGGCATTCAGAATCACTACTCACTTCTGAAAATCTTGGCTGTAACAGCTGTCCCCAGATGAGATGGATTACTGCTTCAAGCATCTTGATTAATCTGAGCAAGCATACACTGCCTAATGGCAAAGGTGGTTAGTCACCAGTTAGGAAGACAGTATGTTCTGATGATCAGAGCAACAAACTGGGACTTGAGTTTTCTGCATTCTGTTCTTGGCTCTGCTATTGAGCTTAGGTCCTCTTTCCCAGTGGGAAGGAAAGTGCTTACATCTGATGTAACGGGAGTATTGAGACCCCCAAAAGCATTTGTAAAACACTCTTTGAGAGCCTTGGATAAAAGATGCTATTAAAAAATGAAATGTTTTATAGGCAATGGGCACTTTACTATGAAGCTGTCTCCCGCCAGTTAGACATACCATCCTCTTTGCATTAAAAAGTTTTGTTACTAAAATAGCTTCATAAAGAAGTGCTAAAATCAGTATTCAGTGTATGGAACTTCTAGTTACTGTTAAAGTTCTCAAAAACAATGTTTATCCATATTTTGTTTGACTATAACTCATGTCTCGGTGAGAGCCTTTAAATATGGTCTAGCGAGTTAAGAGGAAATTTTGGCTGTGATTTATTTACAAATAGTTGTCAGACGAAGGGTGAAACTCTGCTGAGACTGTTAAATGGTGAATACATTAATTCTGGGGCTGGGCAGCCTAGACACCACATTTTCCATCAGAAGCGCCTTGATTAAATAATCCCTGAAAATATGTGTTCCTTTGTACAAAGATGGTGTTACTGCAGGATGTGTTGCCAAAAAATCAAACCAAACCTGTTTTTTTTATTTTTTGAATTACTGGTAACTTGCACAGCACTTTATGAACATACCAGGTGAGGCGATACAGGATAAATTCTGTGCTCAGTTATGCTGTGTAATTGGAGTGAACTCCCTTGATGTCAACGGAGTTGCACTGGATTTACTCCTGTAAACTGGATTTGAGCTACTGCCCCTCCTGGAAATAGCTTACAATCTACTGTTGGTAGAAAATGAAGCCGTGATGGTCTGAACCCAGGTCCTAACCGACGGATGCTCCTACGGCAAACCCATTACGGGAATTAGAAAAATAGATTGATTTATTAACTTTACTCCTCACTCTGCAAAGCACCTTATGGAAATAGTGAATATGGAATGTGCTACATCAAGCTAAGTTCTGTTCCTCCTAAACTGCAGGCTGGCACTCTGATCACAGCCCTGAAAGAATTCCTCTCAGGCTGTGGGAGCTAACCCTGTTGCTGCAGCATTCGCAGCTGGACCTTCCACTGAGCTACATTATCCATAAGTGCTGTGGATGCTGGTTGTGGGGAGGAAGGAGAGAGAGAGGCAAGGAGGGTTTGAAAATGAGCATAACCAAAATCCTGAATACTTTGCTGGCCTATTCCTTATAGGCTCTTATACCATGCTCATCACCATAGAACAGAGAACTTCATTGCACCACGACCCCCTTTTGATAACAAAAATTACTACATGGCCCCAGGAGGAGGGACCAAAGCCTAAGCCTGCCTGCACCCTGCCACCCTGGGCAGGGTAGCAAAGCCCAAGGGCTTCAGCCCCGAGTGGGAGGCCTGTAACCTGAGCCCCACCACCCAGGGCCAAAGCCGAAGCTCTAGCCCTGCTGCCCGGGGCTGAAGCCCTTGGGCTTCAGCTTTAGCTCTGGGCCTCAGCAAGTCTAACACCAGCCCTGGCAACCCCATTAAAACTGGGTTGAAACCCACTTTGGAGTCCCGACCCACAGTTTGAGAACCGCTGCCATAGAATGAGGGCATTGCAGTAGAGCATTAAGTAACATGCCAAGTGTCTGTCATGTAGTGGTGGTGGTTTTCTCATTCTTTCCCAATGGGGAGCAGAATGTGTGGTGGAGTTTTTTGTTTTTGTAGGGTTTTTGGTTTTTTAAATATATATGTTGCTATGAATTTGTTAGGGAAGGCAAGGTCAAATTATATATAACTTTCTAATATGTCTTCGGCATTTAAAGACTGAATTTAAACAAAAAAAACCTGATCCATTTGTTGTGCTACTGATGACAGTTGTTGCCATATAAAGTGGGTAAAATGATCCTAATATGTGATAGTTCTGGCCTCCAAGCACCATCTTATCACTTCTGCTACTTACCTGCTTGTGCTCCTCAACTCATCTGCCACATCAGACCCTTCTCGTATTCCTGACTCTAGACCCTTTCCCACCATGCTCCTGATACTTGGATTGCCCTGGGTGATTGGCTGCCTTCTGTGCATCTCTTGTAAGTACAGAAATATAACAAACAAAGGTGGGTTGGGTTTTTTTTGGCTCTGTCATGCTGGATTGGGAAGACACGTAGGCTGGTTCTGGACATATTCCTGCCTTTGAGAGAGAAATTATCCAAATTAATAGGATTTCATACCTTACTTTTAAAGTGTCCTGAAAAGGAACAAAAAAAACTGGGCTTGTGCCTGATTGCTGTACGTCTCAAGGCATCAAGAAGTAGCAAAAGGGTAAGTTTTAAAAAAAAAAAATCCTTTTTTCTGCTTGCTTTTTATATTAGAAATTCAGATCCTGGCTTTGGCAGACTCTGATGGCTAGAACAGTAGTGCAAGAGTTGCAGCACAAGAGCCACGAGAGTGTAAACTAAACTACTTGGCGGGGGCGGGGGATTATTAGCCATACCGTGTCAAACTTCATTTTAACACCTATTTGCCATGATTAGCACATTAAATATAGGAAGCGTTACACGTGCAGCCCTTCAATGACAGCGTTCCGAGCCCTCAATAAACATCGTTTCTACCTTCCAGTGGTCTGCCAGCAAAGACCAGACTTCACATTCCTGAGTTTAAGGTAAGAAAGCCACACAGAATCATAATTTTGTTGTTTTGTTATTGGGCCTTCTTTATACATCAGAAAGGTGTATACAAACGCCACAAGGCCAATATTTAAAGCAGTCCTTTACAGGCTGTGTGTGTGTTACACCACTACCGTTAATTGCAGGACAGTAGCCCTCATGATAATCTTACCAAGGCCAGCCCTATGCTTAGAAGGCTTTGCCTGGATACGGATATTGGTGTACTATGCCAGCAAAGTGCTTTCAGTGTAGACCTGGCCTAAGGGTGTCAACAGAGGGTTATACCAGAATAACTGTCCGTTTAAATTCAAACCTTTAGATTATACTGAAAAATTTTCCTTTGCAGACAAGGTCTTATTCTCCAGCAATGGTGGGCTAAATATTGAAGAGGTGTTAACAGTAACTTCTGCAGTCTCCAGTGGCTGGCTGGCAGGTGAGTACAATGATGGTTGCGAAGCAGGATGAAGTGATGGGTTTCTCTAGATGTCTGTGGGTGGGGTGACAAGGTGTAGGTATCCATATTTAATTGTTCCTAGTTGGGGAGGGGGTGCAGGGCAGTGTATAGCTAAGAAGAACGGCAGCTTTCTAAATTCCTGGTTTAGTAAGAGTCTGCATTTGACATTTGATGATGTGGTTTAGCATTATTGGGGCTTTTTTTTGTTTTGTTTTGTTTAAGTGTACTTCTAGGATTAAAATATAATGGATGAAGTCGTCATAATGTAGAAGTAAAATGCCGATGATCCTGAAACAGCAAGCAAGTTACTCTCATCCATTACCAAGCAAGGTAACATTATCCCAAAGCTACTTAGGATGTTACTTAGAAAAACAATAAATAACACTGCTCTACAGCCAAAATGCTTCTGAAATAAATGTAGTC